ATTTCAGCCTGGTGAGGTGACTGTGATGGATGGATCCATTACAGGCATTAAGCAGAAGTTGCTTATGCTTGAAGGTCGTTGTTAGATGTGTTCTGAGAGAAAATGCATTGAGACAAGTGGTTTGTAAGCAAAGCAGCTTCCAGTTCGGTAGCTGAAGGAACTGTTGTTGATGTTAATTCTAAGGAACTAAATCAATTTCAGTGAGCACTCCTAAAATTGCCCCAAGAACTTCTACTTTAGCTAAAGACACTTATTCAAGTCCAGAATCAGATTTGTTAGTTGCTTCATTTAAATAAGAACTTACCAGGCATCATTGGGCACTGTCTCTCAACTTAAGAAAATGTCTGAATTCAGTCAGTGATTGATAATCCATCCTGGCTGCCTTAGGATGTTGGGAGGTGTCTGACTCACCTGTGTGTCACCCACTGTCTGCAGAGGGGTGGCCTCAGACCTCTGCAGGTACCTCTACAAAGGGCTGTTGAAAAGAACAAAACCATGATAGATGCATCCTTACCAGAGCAGCGTTGTCTGAACAGATAAAAAGATAGCAAAAGAATGAAGTTAGAGTTCTGTATTCAACTCTAAATTAATTTAATTTCCTCTAAGTCTTGAGCTTCTCCCTGCTGATACTTTCTATAAAGCTAATCCTTTTTCCTTCATCAAAAAACCCTCTCTGAGTAGCAGCAGTATTTCAGCTCCAAATGGAAGTGTTCGCTCAAATTTCTGTTATTTCAGGAAGTCTCCAGTACCAAAATCTAAAGTAACATATTTTTATTGCAAACTGGGGTGTTAAAGTGGGAAATGAGCAATCTGAAGGATATGATATTGAGACAGAGAGAATATGAGATTATGCAGATGTATGAGAATGTGTCTGCATTGCTTTCAGAAAAATTGTCAGTTCGTGGAACTGGTACCATTTTTCAGTAAGGGCACTGTGCTCTTTACTGCAACTTTAATGCCTTGACTGGGAGAATAATCCACATGAAAGTTGGTCAGTGCCCTCACGAGTGCTAAAAATGAGAGTGAAGACATGTCCTGGAAGATGAAATCAGTAATGCTGTCTTCCTTCAGGACAGATTCTTCCACTTTTAGCATCTTTTGTGGCAAACAGAAATAACAATTTGTGCAAATGTCCATCAGTGTGATATGGCTGGAAATGGCATTGATGGGAATAGGGTAATAGCAGCAACCAAACCCAGGTGTTAGGAAAAGGGTCACTGCAAACAGATATCATTGTATCGAATACCCTCTTTTTCTCTGGGTTTTTGTAGCTAGTGCTGATGTTTTACCATTTTCATTTCCAGTGTTTTGAAGGTCATTCTAAACAAGTCTCTCATGTAAAAAATAATTTCAAAAAGAAAAGTCTGTATGGGTATTGCAGTTGCATGAGCCGTTAATTTCCATACATGTACTTGCAATCAGCCCAGGAAAACATTCAACTTTGAGTCATGTATTCCAGATCCCAGTAGTGACTAGGATAGCAGTGTTGACAGTGAGTGCCCCTTCGATAGAGGTTTTACTTTTTTTCTGTTGTCTTCCTCTTTTCTTTTTGTTTTTAGCCACCAGCTAAATACCTCCTGCCAGAACTGACAGCATCAGACTATGGGAAGAAGTGTGTGGTCATTGATTTAGATGAAACTTTAGTGCACAGTTCATTTAAGGTGAGTAAATTCAAGAGTGATCTTTTGCAGCTTGGGTCTGTCAGTAAATGCTGGAGGAACTGTTAAGCCTCTTAACACTTTAACTCGTTTTACAGGCTCTCCCAGGGTGTCTGGGAGTTCTCATTGCCTCTCCTATGATTATTCATCCTAATTTAGCTGTTAGGGAAGTAACACAGTGATTGCCATTTTGTTTTGATTCTGAGAAAGTCACACGGATTGCAACAAGGCCTGGAATCGGTATGAACTTCATGGCTTTCAGTATTCCACCAAGGACCTGTGTTTTCACAGGTATTAAGCTTGCTGCTCTGAAAATGCCATTTTGTTGTTGCAGTTTAAATGATGCCATAATTAGGCTAGAAGAATGGAAACTCAGCACAGCTTTATGCAAGGTAGGGGTACCTTAAACCAGTGATTTTGGGCACTAGTGATGGCTGTGCTCTTGTTTTCCATGTCAGGCTGCTGTCCTGATTGCAGTAAGTGTTTTTAAGTATTTAGCTTTCAGAGCTGGAAAGCAAATGCCATTTAGCTATTGCTGTTGAATCAGTCATCTTCAAGAAGCAACTTTGATAACCCTTCAGATTCCAGCATGTGGTGGAAGCAGTGGTTATTTTTCTGTTGTTTAAGTAGAGCTGAAATTAGGAGACTTCAGAAACACAAGTAACCTAAACTGGCTCAGAGTATTGACAGCATTTCTGATTAGCAGATCTTGTACATGATAAAGCCTCTGCTGGTTTTATACATTGATTGGAGAATTCATAAGAACTAATAATTACCTTACTACTAGCAAACTAGAGTTACCACCTTTATAGTCTTCTAGTTGGTTGCACTCCACTTTTCACTGCCAGCATAAACTCCACTTTTTTATCCTGCACTAGTTAGTTGCCAGCATTTAAAATGCAAACTCTAATCCATGTTGTGGTTAGAATTTGGCAACACCCTGTCTTTGTTGACTTAAAGGAAACCTTATATGGAGATATTAGAACAAGTACTCCTGCGCCTCAAACTGAAATGAAGATTTTTCTCTGTCTTTATTGTGCCTGATGGTATATAACAATTTATGGTGGTGTACAGGAACCTCAGCCTCAGTGCCAGATCTGTCTTCTATACCCAGACTGAGTTTGCACTGGAGAATTTTTCAGGGAGATGAGGAACACAGCTGGATTGGGAAGGGAGAAACCATGCCTTCTTATTTAAACAAGAGTCAAAAAGAGGAAGGGAAAGCTGAATTTAAGAATCTAAATGTATATAATAATAATAATGAAGAATTAAGCTTAGTGTTATCTGAAAGGTAAAAATACAAGTTTACTTTCTGAATGCTGTGGCTAATTTTGTACTGTGATTTTTTTCCTGGTTTTTAAACAAAATGAGCTTCAATTTAGGTGGTTATTAATTTTTTTTAAAAAACCATTTTAAAGAAATGCATATTTAATGGTTGACATAGTATAAATCTTTCGTGTAGGACTGAGGTTTGCCTTATTGCAGAGTGCTTTCTTAGCAAGCATATTTTAATCGTCCTGTTCACTCAAATAATATTTAATGGGTATTTAGATGATATTAAATAGATACTTAAGAAAAACCAAAAGATTATTCTACTTAATGATGAGCCATGAATAATGTTTTGTGAGGAAGAGAAAGCTTGTCCTTTTTTTGTGTGAAGTAGTTGTAGGCAGATGTCAGAGTCTTACAGCTACAATTGTGTTATCTTACTGTGAAGCCTTGTGTTGAGGGTACGTAAGAGAAAACCAAGCGTTGGAGGAAATGGCTTTACTTGTTTAATGGCTGGAACTGTCCAGTGGTGCTGTTTGGATTTTGTTTCATGTTTCAGCTGAATTAGGACCACTGTGGTCATTAAAACTCATGATGGATTTCCAGCAGAGCAAGGGTTTAATACGTGTATGCACCCTGCTCTGCCTGGAAAATCAAGTTACTTCTGCAGTTTCTTTTAGTTTGTGGAGTTTCGGGGGTGTTTTTAGGGGTTTCTTTTCATTAAAACATGTCTGCTCTAACCAAGCAGATCCCCACTTAAAAGCTGGAAAAGCATACATGAATTTGTGATTTTTTTTTTTAGCACAAAAGGCTTTATTGAAAACACCTGATAGTTTAGAATTCATAATTCTGTTATGAAATAGGCTTCATATTTCAAATGCAGATTATATGTTTTTAACACAACCAGAGAGGCAGAATATTTAAAGTGCTCTTTTATGAAAGCAGCAACATCTGAAGGAGGGTAATTCTCATCTTTTTATGCCCCTGCATATTTGTGAGGCTTTAAGGAGGTGCTAGTCTTTCATGTTCTATGCATATTAAAGGAATAAAATTTGGGGTTCTTTGGCAAGACTAAAAAAGGAATAGATAGACAGGATAGTTATCATTCCCATCATAAAACAATAGTAGAAGCAAAAATAATAAATTATTAAATCAAGGAGATGTAAAGAGGGTTTCGTATAAAATGAATTAAACCACATGCAAGCCTGGAATGTGGTCATATTCAAAACTGGCTGTGAAACACTTTTAGAACATTTAAAATACTGAAGTTTTTTTGTATTAACTAGAAACAGTTCTAACTGAAGATTTTCGATGGAAATACGTTGTCTTCTTTCAGGCTCTGTCTCTGTGGTTCCCACTGGAGGCACGTACGTGCTTCACGTGCTCACCCCAGAAATCTTTATCCAGCAAATTGCTGCAGACTTTTCTCCTCTCTTCCCACCATGACCACACAACCCCCGTCCATGCTCCTTCCTTATCACTTGTGCCAACAAGAAAGCAATGCAGTACTTGAAGTATAAGTGGGGGAAGCAAATATGTAGTTAGGAGTGGTTTGGTCAGTGTTACAAAGTCTAAGGGTGAGTTTTATTTGTTAAAAAAAAAAAAGTTAAGTTGTTTAAACAGAATGTGGTTTTCTCTGGCGTCTGGTTGGTGTTGCTCCTGTTAAGAAAGTTCAGTAAAAGCTGTAGTTTTATCAATGGATTTCAAAACCAGCTTGCAGTGACCTATTCTTTTTCTGCTGCTGCGAAGTATTTCTCTTGCTTAAGGGAGTCATGCATATATAAGTTCTTCAAGTGCATGCAAGTCTCTGAAAAGCCTGCAGGGAACTGGCACCCACTTGAAAATTGGTGACTGAGGTTTATGGACAGTTCATTTGGGTTTGTTTTTAAGGTGAAGCTTGAGGACATTTTTTGTGTACCTGATTTGCTGCTCTTAGCGATGCTACAGAGTATCTTCTTTATATGAGGGACTTCATGCAGGGAGCAGCTGGAAGCCTCCCCTCTGTCTTTTTCCAAAGCAGAAAGGAGTTATCTGTGGGTATTTGAGGAATTCTTTAGATGCAGAGGTCATCAACAGGGCGGAGTCTTCCAGCATCATCTGCTCTGGAGCTTTGGTTGCTGATATTGGTTGGTCAGGATAAGTAGATTCAGTATAGCCTCCCGTTTGCCTTCTGCCCCAGCACTTGCAGGTGTCAGATCAAACCATCCTCCTTTATTACTGTGTTCTTGAGAGAGGGTGTTGCCCTCTGTTATAAATTCTTGTGGTCATTTTGCTCTCCTCACAGGTAGGTCTTTTGACAGTGGAATTAGAACTTCATTTTTCCAGAGAATGGGATCAAAGCAATGCTACCAGGTTAATACTGCAAGATTCTATTTTCCCACCGTTTTTCATGGTGCACCTGTTTAGGTTCACTAGTTTGTGATCTGCTGCTTAGTCTCTTTACCTTGGCTGCTTCTCTGCTGTCTTGCCACTCACTGTCGCCCCCACAATGGGTTTGAAGGCTGTTGTTTGTAGTCTCACAGATTTTTCAGGGGCATCTTCTTAGTGGTCCTTGAGATCAGTCTATTGACTGATCTAGAAAACCAGGTAGGAAAGTCTGTGCAAGTCTAATGGGGCTGAGTTGAAGATGTTTTCCAGCCTTCACTTAGTAATCCCAGTTACCAGACTGCTCCCAGCCTTCCTTCTAGGCTCTTATCCATGAAGCATATTGTCTGTTAATCAGTCATGTTAAAACTGTACTTGGCAGCTCTGTGTCTCAGCCATTTTCAAGCTGCAGATGATGGAGTTAGAGGCTTCAGCCAGGCATGTTTACATGACTATTTTTTTTATCATGGACATAGTGCCTGAGCTGTACCCAAGGGTTCTGCCAAGTTTGATGTCCATTTGAACCAGTAAACACTGTTAGCAGCATGTTCCCAACTGCCCCTGCTGTCTAGCCAAGATTAGATTGTGTGCACTTAAACTGGCTACAAGGACACTTTCCTGCTTTCCAAAGCAATTTTACTTGACCAGCAGTATTTCACAGTAAGTCTTAAGAAATAAGTTGTGTTTGACAGGCTAGAAAAATGGATTCAGGGACTTGGACAGAGTGTACCTGCTCTTCCCTCTGGAATTAAAATGCAGTTTCACATGATGAAGTTGGTTGGTATTGGTCCTTGAGGTATTGCATCTTGAGAGTCATTTAACTATATGACTTAAGTCTTGTTGCAGCTCCTGATTCAAATATAACCATTAGGTATTACTTTTACCTATGTCTTTATTTTTAAAAAAATTACTCATTGATGATCCACAGTAGAATATGTGAAGCACATAACTGATTTTCTTGATTACCATCCACACAGACTTGATGTAAGAGTTATCCAGACAGATGTTTTTCCTGGTAAACACACTCAGTGGTAGTGGGGGTTATTCAAGCAGTGAATCACAGTACATTGTGTGAAGCTTGAAATATGAGAGAAAGGGAAGTACAGCATCTGGGAATACAACTGTGAGGCTTCTGACTTGTGTGTGTAAAGGGCACACACAGAGTGGATCTGTATAGTCAATAATGCTTATTAACTTGTTCCTGAGAAGTAAGTAAGTGCTCTTCCCTTCTACGCCTCTGAAATTGTCCCTCTAATGATCTCATTTTTAATGTTGATTATTTCCTTGTCATTCTTTCTAGCCAATTAGCAATGCTGATTTCATCGTTCCTGTTGAAATTGATGGAACCATACATCAGGTAAGTGCTGTTGTTCCTTCAGTGTTGTATCCTGAGTGTCCCAGAGTGTTCTCTTCCTCCATTTGCTGCTTTACATTCAGTAACTTCTCCTTTTGCAAAACACAGAAGCTGCGTGTTCTGAAATTGTACCATCCAGAAAAGCATCCATGTTTGATCATAGAATCACAGTGTGGTAAGGGATTGGAATGGACCTTAAAGATCATCTAGTCCCAACCCACTTTCCCTGGGCAGGGACCCCTCCCACTAGACCAGGTTGCTCAAGGCTTTGTCCAGCCTGGCTTTGAACACTGCCAGGGTTGGGGCAGCCACAGCCTCCCTGGACAATCTGTTCTCACCACCCTTACAGTAGAATATTTATTTCTAATATCTAATCTAAATTTCCCCTCTTTCAATTTATCTCCCTTACTCCTTGTTCCTAACAAAGAGTCCCTCTCCAGCTTCCCTGTAGGCCCATTCAGACACTGGAAGGTTGTTGGTCAGGTAGAGTCTCTCTCTCTCTCAGGACTTGACTCTTTGTCAATTTTAAAACATTTTCAAACAGGGAATGATCTCAGGATGGGTTTTCAAACATTAATAGTCCTAGAAAAAGCCACTTGAATACTGCATTTCAAATTCCTTCCCAGACAAACAGGACATACGTTGGCTCTAACATCTGTTGGTAGCTCATATGCTGAAGCTCATATAAGTTTGATAAAACTGTTATGGAAGACTAGAAATTTCTCCCATTTTTTTTGCATCTATATGTATTTAATTTCCATCCCCTTTTACTCCTGTGAGTAATTTAAGTTCCTCTGATGGTACTTTTTATGTACTTCAGCATATTTAAAAGGTCTGGACAGAATTGCAAGGAGACTAATTTTTCTGTCTTACTCTTTAAGAACTTCACTTAAGGCTCTGAAAAATGGTTTTCAGTAAAAGCAAAACACTCATAATTTGAAAATCAGTGCCCTTCATGTATCTTAGCTTGGTGTCTTCAATCAGTTGAATGATTGAATGAAACAAATTACAGTGCCGTAAATTTTCCTCTTCAGACAGACATTAAAGCTCTTGCTGGAGAGGAGTTGTACAGGTTAATGTGAAGTTGAGCCTCTCTGATACATGAACGTTGCAAATTGTTTGAAACACTTTTTGTTGGTTCTGGTAGGTTACAGATAATGCAGTTACTGAGTTGCAGATCTTCTGTGGATGTGGTTTAATAGAGAATTTAAATACTTCCAGTTTTGGAAATCTTGGGGGTTTTATATGGATTATTTTTACTTGAACAAAGAGTTTTGTATTTTAATCTTGGACTAACTGATAGATCAAAAAGCTAGTTAGTAGTTTTGTTTGATTTTTCTGTTGTGGAAGGCATGTGTGTAATTGTCATTCTTTAAATAATTACTAAATAGCAGTCAGTGGATTGAAATGTGCTTTAAAGTATTAGTTGCTCTGACAGTTTTTACACTGTGCCTGTTTTGTGTAGAAAAATTCAATATCTGAAGTACTTAGACCTGTAATGTTCACCACAGCTGGTGCTTAGAACACCTAAGTGATGTTTTGGGAGATTTGTGATATTGTCAGTCCGGGTTTGATGTGGGCTTTGGTTGTGTTTGGTGCTGTAAAACAGACATTTTCTCTCCTAAAACTTTGTACAATGCTTTTGAAAGTGAATTTTTGAATGGCTTAGAATTGTCATCACTTAGCTTGTCAAGATGATACATTTACATTGTGAAACAAATCCCAATAAAAGACTATTTGGGTTTTACAGTCAAGCACATCAGAAGTCTGTTGCTTTTCCATTCCCTGCTGCAAACTTTCAGATTCTTCACCAAATGTAATGCAGTTCAGCACTCAAGATGACTGCAAAACCCAAACAAAAAAATCAGCTGGCCAAAGGGAGTGATTTGTGCATCTCCTTCCCTTGACGTAGAAGGTCAAGTGAAATTAGTCTCTGACCGTGCTTTGCTGGAGATTTCCTGCGTATTTTTCAAGGAAATTGTTTAATCCCTTTGTGTTTCAGGCTCTTAATCTCTGAAATAGGTAAATATCTCAGTCACATTTGGGTGGTAAAAATGAAGTTAATTGTAAGGAATTTGTGATTCTTGAAATAAAGGTAATTCACGTTTATTCTATGTTTATTCTGTTTATGCAGAGCAGGCAAAGTCTGTGTTTGTAATTAATGCTGTCATTCAGGAATCTTTTGGGGTGTTTGCACTGTGATAAATGGGAAAACTGGATATTGTGACTAAGTCTGGGCATTGCCAAAGGCTGTAGAGCTTGGACAACCTGTTCCCACTTCAAACCTGTAATTTTTTATTCACTTCGAGCACAAATGAACCGATGTGTGCAGTTTTTGTCATTTATCAGAATTTCTCATCTGTATAACGCCAGGCCATTTTCTTAAGCAGTTTATGTCCTCCAAGATTAATCACTGACATTGGGAAATACTTCCACCTGTTTAAAGTATCATGGGGTATGTAAAATGTGGTGGAAATGTACTGTCCGTAGTGCATATCCTTGCCTGGTATCTTATCAAGCAGGAGATTGTTTGACAGATTATTGTTGTACTTGAACTCTGTCTTAGACAGAAACCCTCTGAGAGCAAATAGAGAAACACATTTCAGAAGTGCCAATTCAGAAAGAAATCTGAGATTACACAAGACTGTTCAGATCTCCTATACCAAAAATACAAGTTGTGGCAAATTCAATTGCTGTGCACTTGAAAGGGTTTTGAGATTGGCTTATCTAACAAGTTTTTTCATGGTAAATGCTGTATTTTTTTTGCTATGCAACAGAGGTATTCACAAAAGAGCTGTCTTTAGTTTGGGGAGGTTATTTTTTCTTATTTATAATCAAAAGTTCAGAGGGTGTATTTTTTAATAGGGAGGACAATTCAAATCAATGTCTTAAAAGGTCTTTGGGTAAACCAACTTCCCTAGATTTAAAAAATAGCCTTTTTGAACACCCCTTTTCCCTCTCTCATCTTTCTTTCTCTAGCCTAAATTACCTTATCTTTAGAAAGGATTGGCCATTTTATTTTACAAGGAAATAACTCCTGTGTGGAGGCACCTCCCTTTCCTCCTGTTGTGAGTCTAGATGCCTGCAGAGACTGTGCCTGTCTAAGAGCAGCTACAGTTACAGGAGTAGAATCCCATGCTTTGTGTTGGGAATGATGGCACAGATACAAAAGGGCAGTTCTGATGCAAGCTGATACTCTCCTGGCCAGGGCTCTTGTTTCACTCTGGTTCTCTGGATAAAAGGAAATCAGAGCTGCTCCCCTGCTCTACCAAATTATGAGGGAAAACCTGTGATAAGTCCAGTGAAATGTGTTGCGTCTGAGAGTGCTCTTAGGAAGCTTATTGAGGGTGAAAGTAGTGGCTGGAGAAAGATGTTCAAGCTGTTTGGTACCCTTGATGTAACTTCTGCAGAAACAAGTCCTCTTCTTCCCATTGAATAAGTACAGAGTGACCACAACCCAGATCAGAGGCTGTATGTTAAATGTAGCTTTAATCCCCAGTGAGAGAAGACTTTTAAGGGTATGTTTGTCCTTTGTCTTTTATCCAAATTGACTTCCAGTGGCTTTGTGCCTTGCTGTTGGTGTCAGGGAGTAAAGAGAGCAGCCAGGAAGAGTTTGATCCGGTGTTACTTGGAATTCCATTTTTAAATATTTGTTGATTGAGTAAAACTAGTTTGTAAGTATTGGGTTTTAATTCAGTTAACAACTGTTTATTTTTAGTGATTGGCAGCTAAAGACATGTATACTTTGAATGTAGTATACAGAATGTTTTTGAATGGTGGGGACAAACTCTGAATAATAAACTTCCTTCCTAAAAGCACTAAATTCATGGATTTTCTTCTGGAAGGCTGTGGCCTGGTTCAAGTAATCCAGGATAGGCTGTATCCATGCTAACTGGCCTATTCTTGGTTACTTGCACTGGGAGGCAACCACAACTGTGTGACCCAACACCACGAGGCTCAAGGACACGTTATTTTCTGCTTGCTGCTAAGAAGATGCACTCAGCCCACGAAACAGGAGATTGAAGGAGTTTGAGTTATCCTGGGCACATTTCTTTGTCATTACTTGAAGCTTTCTTTACTGCAAAGCTGGTTTTGAGAGGCAAATCTTTGCATCCTGTTTAATTGATTAAAATTGAGCTTTTAGTTTTACAAATACTGAGTGACTTTAGGTTTAGACTGCTTTGAGGTATAGAAAATTTATATGGAAATATGAAATATTTGAAAACAATTAAAGGTAATTATTTGTGTTCTGCCATTAGCAGCTGTAAGAATCTTGTGAAAACATGCCTAGTGCCTGATCTGTGCTTAAAATGTGAAGAGTAGGGTTCATTTTAAATAATAAGACTATAAGAATAGTATTTCTCTAAATTCTTGCTGTGATAAGGCAGAAATTAGTGAGCATACAATACAATTAAAAATTGAGGGATTTTTTTAATGCCCTAAAGACAGTATATAAATCTCAGAAAAATGCCAGGAGCCAGTTAGTCTAGAGATTTAAACTGAAGACATCAGGCAACAGAGGAAAAAGCCAAGCCACAAATAACCATGGAGCATTGAGATTCAAGTCCAGCCACTAACAAAGTAAAGTGGGGAAAAAATTCCAAATGAGGAGGAAGAGGAGAAAAGAGCTGCACTGTCAGCTGAAGAAAGCTTTTTATGTGCAGTAAACCAAAGAGATCTTGTAGCCCAGGATACCAGTACGCTTGGAGTTGCTTCCAGGGTCTAAGTAGGACTTCTCAAAAAGAACTTCAAGGAGAATAACTATCCAGAGTATTAGATATGTTGTTCTGCCAAAAAAAAAAAAATTAAATTAAAGGGGGTGTGTGAAGGAATTGGGGCTTTTTACAGAGGGAAATGATTAAGGGAAAAAAATCGTGAGACTTCATCCTAAGAAAAGACATTTATTATTAATCAGGCATTTAACATGAGAAGCAAATCTGTTGGCCAGATCCCAGTAGGGAAGCTTTAAGGCAAAACAGCAAGAGAAACTCAAGTAGAGGAGAGTGAGGGTGCTCTATGGTGGATCTGGAGATCAAAACTGCACAAGGGAGACAACACAGCTTCAAATGTTGTGTATTTACAGCTAATACTGACTAGTTGCAGTATTAGGAGACCTGCAAATAGCCAAAAGAGCACTTACTGCAAGTACTCACTTGCAAGTACACCCTGAGGCTGTGGTTAGGGAGCTCTTGGGCTGCAGCTCTGGGGTTGATTTACTGTGTGCTCTCTTTATGGAGGAGGTGGGTTATGTTGCAAGAAGCAAAGTTCATATCCTTGGCAGAGAGTTTGTAATTACATTCCAAGTGGAAATACTTCACCAACACGGGCATAGATAGGGATGGAGAGCAAAGAGGAGACTTCTTTTGCTGTGGCTGAAACCACCAGGTTGTAAAAGGAACATCAGTACTAAATTCCAGCACTTCATATCCAAAAATAAGACTTTGGGGAGTTCCTTCTGTGCCCTCAAAAATAAGTGTAGGAATATAATTTAAGGCTAAAGAAACAAGAACTTCATTATTAAGGAGTAATTTGGATCCTACTATGTCTCTTATAACTGAGAGGTTGGATAGTCTCTGAGTACACAAATGCAGATGGACTTCAGCAGTCTTTCTCCCTGTGTCTTTAAAAAATTCAAAGATAGAATTTGGAGAGGAAGTGCTACAGAACAACTTTCTGTAGTAGGAATTAAGTGAAAAAATAATTGTATTGTTATAGGAGAGGAAATTAGTTGGTTTATGCTTGGTGAAATACAGGAAACGTTTCTGTAATTAAAAGAGAGCAGTGTTGAGGTACATCTGTTAGCTGTCTTTAATTCATAAAATGTCACGTGTATTTGGTGGGTTAGGTGCTGCTGTGGTTGTTAAAAAAATCTGGGTTATAAGTTGTTATCTGTATCAAAGTTTGAATGTAATGTTTATGAGGGCAGAAGTAGTTTAGATAAATTCCTTAGAAATAACTTAAAGCAGATCAAGTCTTCCTGCTATGATCTGTATCCTACATAAAGTGGGAAAGTAACTAACATTTCTGCTTTAGTCTTTAAGGTACAGCTCCATTGTGTATGTTTTTTTGGTAAAACTTCGCTTTCAGATTTAGGTTTTCAATTTTACTTCCACAGCTTTTATCTCCTTTTGCTGAAGGCTTTAATTGTTACACTTCAGTTCAAGCTGCTGTTTCTGTATTCTTCTCCTTCAGGCTTTTTCTCTTGGTACCTTCTGGTTTTTTACCTCTTATAAATATGACTCTAGTAAAATACATACAATTAATCTAGTTTTACGTATCAAAAAATGAAATTGCTGAAATTGCATCAGTGTTAACAATTCTTCCTGAATTGAGTTCTGTGCCAGACTTCTGCACTTTAAATTTCCAGTATTAGGGATTACTTGCCAAACAAAGAAGATAAAATTCTGCCAGTGTTTTCTCTCAAACTTTTAATCTAACTGCAAACAAGATAGATACATATTTTCAAACAGACTCCCCTCTTCAGCTTCCCAGTATATTGTGAGCTACTTCCAAGCTTTCTGAGCAGCAATTATCTTATCTTGGTATTTTCTGTCAGCGCAAATCATCTTGTTTGCTCTGAAAAGAGAGCCAAGGAGGCTCTGTTAATCAGAGGCAGAGAGATCCTGAGTGTTTGCCATTCTTATGTCAAGGTCACAGTGGAAGGCACTGTAGACTTTTTCAGTGACTTTTGAAAACAGCATTTTTAGACATTCTGCATGGTGCCGTGAAGGTTTTTGGTAAAAAAAAGCTCCTGCTGAGCCAGATGAGTGATAGCTCTCCGTAGTGAGATATGGTACTTAGCACCTGGAATTTAAAAAATGAAAGAATTAGCCACAGAAAGAAAACAGCTCCCTGTTGTGCAATTCCTGTCATCACAAAGGTTTCATCAGATTTATGCCTTCTGTGAAGCTCCTCAGCACCGAAGACACCAGCACCAAAATGGTTTTGGTTGAGAGATGCGACTCCTCACTTCCTGAGAAACCCTCTTGTCTCCTTTGCCTTTAATGAGATTTGTCAAGAAGCTTCACTCCAGATGATGCACAGTGTTTGCAATTGCATAATCAGCATGGGGCTTGGCAGCCTGTGTGTGCAATCTCATTATTGGATCTCTACTTCTGTCTTGTGTACTTTTTATTTTCAGCATTTCATTTGAACTGCTAACTTTTGTTTCTTCAAGTGTTAGAATTCCAGGAGTGGTTTGAGTTGGGTTTATTTTTTTTCTTTCCTTGAGCACCATCTGACCTAAATGTCATTATCATTCCAGGTTTATGTATTGAAACGACCACATGTGGATGAGTTTCTTCAGAGGATGGGAGAGCTCTTTGAATGTGTACTCTTCACAGCCAGTCTAGCCAAGGTTTGTTCCTCCTGTCATCTCATTAACCCTCTCAGTGCTGGTCAGTGGACTTTTGGTTGGGTTTTCTATGGATAATTATTTCCACAGTTGGTACTATCTTAATTTTTCCCCTTCTTTTCTGCTTCTTTGTCTGACAGTGTGTACTTTGTCTGCTAGTGTGTGGGTAAGTGTTTCCATGGTAACACCATCACATATGGGCTTGTCTCATAATGTAGCCTCCATGCATTGCTCATGATGCCAATATGAAAGGCTCACAAGTTACCATGGTTATAGTGAGAAATTAGAACAAATAGTGTGCAAGTAAAGCAGCACATTAAAGCTGGGCATGAAATAAAATACACTGAATTAAAGGCCATCTACATGATCAACCAGTGACTCAGAAATTGACTGAAAATTGGGAACACATTTTTTTGTCCTGTCAAGGTGCAATTGCAATCTGGAGTTAGAAAATGAGACATTTTGCAAAGCTTGAAGCATCTACAGGAATATTTTGTGCCCTCTGGTCTGCAGTAGCAGTAGTAGCTCGTAGGTAGCCTTGTGGTAGATGTTACAGTAGTAGACTGAGCTCAGATTCTTCACTTCTCTTGGTGTACTGTATTTGTGGTGTCTTGTTTGTAAAATTACATTGATTGTTTATAAATAATGCTCTAGCATGGCAAGCTTTTACTCCAACCTAGTGTAGAGATGGTGGAAGGGGACAGGACCCTGATCTGCTATAATGCCTTTGTACCAGAGGATTGTTCCCTGGGTTCTTTTTAGAATATTCTCCTCAGTCATGTTGTGAAAATCCTAAATACTGTGACAATTTCATACTGCAGTTAGTTGTCTGTTATTCTTCTTAGCCAAAAGTTGTTTGATTTCAACATCAATTCTGTTTCGCAGGTTAAAATACTAAAAAATGGTAATCCTACCCTGCAATAATAAATTAGACTGTTGTTTTCAAGAAACTGGTTATTCATGTTCTGGTTTATTTGGATACTTTTCCTTGGTCAGTTTATATCAATTGTTGCATTCTAAGCTGTGCCTCACCAAAAGTATTATCTTGTATATAAAATGAGAATTTCCCTAGTATTGTACACGAGTATTTCTCCTAGTAACATCTTTATCTGATCTTTTATGGCCCAATTATGCAATTTGGTCATCTTTAAGAGTCTTACTGTCCCAATTACTCCAAGGGCATCATTTGGAAAAGCAACATCAGGCTCAAGTGTGTTCATTGCAGTTTATCTTCAGAGGCACATGGAACCAAATCAGCTGTGGAAGTGCTTCATATAGATTTTCTGTTAGTGTTAACTGGTTTTATGGTAATGTTAGGTGAGATCTGTGGATACATCAGCCTCTAGGAAACTCCTAGGGAAACTGTAAGTTGACCCTAAGAATGAAACCTAACCTATAAATCACAGAAACTGTGGGAGTGCAAGTTAGCCTTCCGTAGAAAGATAGTTGTCCTATTTTTGTATTATCTCTCTATTAATCACTTCAGGTTTGCAGGCATGTAAGTTAATTAACAAGAGGCAGGGAAGAAAATGAAGAAAGGGTATTTTATCTGGAATTATTTCACGTCCCTTCTTTGCTTCGGTGAATTATGCCTATCTGCACACTGCTAACTTCATCTTTCTGACTTCTATTTTCAAGTATGCAGACCCAGTAGCCGACTTACTGGATCGCTGGGGTGTGTTCAGGGCAAGGCTCTTTAGAGAATCCTGTGTTTTCCACCGAGGAAATTATGTGAAGGATCTGAGTCGACTGGGACGTGAGCTGAGTAAAGTTATTATAGTAGATAATTCTCCTGCATCTTACATCTTCCATCCTGAAAATGCAGTAAGTATTCTTAGTGCTGGAAGTACTCAAGCGTGACTTGATCTTTCTGGTCCTTGCCCAGACTTTCTGATTCAGAAAATAGCCTTTCAGAGCACTGACTTGTGTTAGTTCCTGTGTTCTTAGACTGCAGGTAGGTTCTGTGATTCACTGCCATACAGTGAAGGACATGGGCAAACTGATCTTGACAGCATGTCATAGCTGTGACTGTTCATGTGCTTCAGCTTTAGCTTTTGGCATGAAGTGCAACAGTTTTGAGAGATACCAAGCAGTGTAGAACCTGAAGATCTAGCAGCTCTAAAAGCCAAAGCTGCCCTGCAGCATAGTTTGTGTTCTTTGGAGTGGTGATTCCAGAAAGAATGGTATGCTTGAGCTTCTTTTGGTACTCTCATCTCATTGTGTGAATGAAACTGTTTTATCAGCCAAGATTATTAGTGCCTTACTGGTTGCTGTGTGAGTTCTGTATTTGTGGGTAAGGGAAAGAAAAAAATCAAGATTCTGTTGTGTTGTTATGCTTCTCCTTCAAGTAGTTTTGTGATAACTCCCTTCATAATTAGAAATGTTAGTCAACAAGCTGATCAAGGATTAGGGCTAGGATAAAATACAGGCAGCAATACTCCAGGGGAGAATACTTAGGAGCAATGTGTATTTTCACTGTGTGTTCCATATCGGCTGCAGAAGATCTGATGGAACAGTCTGGCACTTGCTCCATCCATTGCTGCAGTCAGTGCAGATGCTCACATCTGTTTCATAGCTGCCAGGATAGAAGCTGGAACTCCCTTAGATCTACTGACTTTCAAACAACCAGGCTATGCCGTGTTTTCTTTGATGTTTTTAGGCTGTCTTTTTTGTGAGCTGTTAAAATTAGTGTAGGAAATCTTTTATCAAGAACACTGCTTTGCACAGTCCTGCCTCTCTGGAATAGCTTTTTTTTTTTTTAACATGAGCTATTTATCTTGCAGTAGTTCAGCTTTTAAGTTCAGATGCTAACACTGTGATGCCCTAAGTGATGTGGTGAAAACATTTTTCTGGTTGGTGCCACACATAGTTTAAAGTTGCCATTTATAATAACCAGGAGCTGTAGCTCTAATTTGTGTTCGTGGTTAAAATATAAAACCTGATCCAGATCATCATTTGGTATCTCAGAAATCAGTGCCAAGAAAATAATGAGCTGTAGAAATTTGGGAGATGAAATTTAGGGCCTTGTCAGAGTGGTTTAATCATGTATAGAAAAGTGCTGCTAGCTAACTGATACTCGAGTCTCTGCAGAAACCAGAGCTTGTAACAAGATCCAAGATAGTCTTTCAAAGACCTCAGTATACTTCTATAGTGAAGAACTCCTTAAATATGTGGGCTGGATTTGGGGAAGTGTTATTATATGCATTATTTCCTGAACCCACTCTCAAGGTCTAATTTCAATCTGAGCACTGCTCTGGGCTCAGTTTAAATATTTCCTCCCCAACCCCAGCCAGAAGGGATTGTTGCTGCATGCCTGTGTCTGGTGACTCACACTGGTAATTCTCAGAGAGGGAAAAAACACTTCCCTGTAAGTAAAGTGTCAGTGGAGCTCCATAATCTCTGTCTCCCTTCCAGTCTTGGAAGGGGATTCTGAATATGAAAGACGCAGAGCAAGTTGAGCTGTCCAGTGTGGGGTCACATACGTTACCTGGACGTGCAGGTGAAGATCAGCTGTCATGCAGTTGGGTTGGGGGTTGATGTTGCGTACTAGAAAATGTGGGCTTGAACCTGGTGCTCCACCTTAATGCTAATGACTAGCAATTTGCCTTACTGATGATGATGATTACAGGACACCTACACAGGCAAAGCTCACGGGTCCTTCACATCACGAAACCCTCTTAGTATTTGTTGGTTGCTTTGTTTCAGGTGCCTGTGCAGTCCTGGTTTGATGACATGACAGACACAGAGCTGCTAGATCTTATTCCTTTCTTTGAAGGACTAAGCAAAGAGGAAGAAGTTTACAGTATGCTTCATAAACTCTGCAACAGGTAGCCCTTAACTTTGACTGACTTCTGCTACTAGATTGCAGTTGCTAGAGGCTGTCTCCATCTTTTTCAGCTCCTTCAAATGTAAGCTTTGGGGAGGTCACCCCTGTCAGAAGTGCTACTCTTGATCTTCCTGTTACATTGGACACGAAGGACAATCATGAGTGATGCTCTTAAGCCTTCAGAAGCCTGACTCCTAAGGTCATGTGTTCAGACTACTTTTTTAAAGGAAAAAAAAAAAAAGAAGCTATTTTAAATGGGACTCTTTTAGTGAATTTCATAAATGGACATCTTTTACTGGATCAGCTTTTCTTAAAACATGCCAAAAAAAAGAAGCTTGTATTTCAGCAGTTGAATTTCTCTCCCTTTCTTCCCCTCCCACTATGCAGACAATTTTACCCCCCTGCTTAGAGCAGTTGACCTGACTCTGAATTTTTTCTTACAGAATGAAGTGCCTTTTTGAATGTTATTTTAAGATAAAAATTCATTTTTGTATAAGACGTATTTCCAGACATCTTTTAGTCTTGTATTGTCTAAATGCTTTAAAAGGAAAAAGGAAAAATTTTATAGAGCACTGTAATATATAACAAGGAAAAAGTTGAAACAAAGATGCTGAGTTCCTGTCTCCACAGTGACATTAAGTTGTTTTACGTTTTGTCATGCTCAGAAGGTTCAAGCGTTCGTGGGAGGGGTGAATTGCGTTAATTATGCGGTTGTTTCGCTGATGATGATTTTGGGCACAGTTTTGAACATATCTGCAGTTGTTTGAGTGTTAGGGAATGATGGAATTGAGAAAACAAGGTGGCTAGTAGACCTAAAGCACCTTTTCTTCTAGGCAGATGAAGTTCTGTTGTCTCTGCTTACGCACAACTGCCATGCCTCTCGTTTTATGGAAAACCATTATCTTGGGAGAATGGGGCGGAGATCTATTTATTAGTTTGAGATTCTTTTCTTAAAACAACCCATCTGGGTAAGCTGGAGCTGTATGGAGCTGTTTGGAGTACTTTTTTCTTTTAATTGCTGCTACTGTTTACTCACCAAATGGAGTTGACCATCGGCTGTTATACTGTTTTTGCCACTGTGCCTGTGCTATGAAACATTTTCTGTAAGCTGCAAACTTGGGCAATAAATAAGATGCAGGCTTCATTTCCCACCCCCATGGATGAATCCAGTGGTATCTGATATACCAGAGGACTCAGCTAAAGGTGACCTGTAAAGGATATTTTTTTAATTTTTTTTCCAATTGGGATGAAGCCCTCTCCTTCCTTTGATGTCTGTGAATACAAAAAGTATTTTGCCTGCATCTCTGATTTGTATTTTTTTTTCCCCAAGGTGTAAGGTACAGATTAGGAGCTGTATCAAGTCTTGCTAGAAGGGCAGAAGTTACTAGCCTAGACTAAAGTCAGTCCTCTGGCTTTGGAGTTGAGGTCTCTGAATCTGAGAACCTGCTTAACATCTTCTGCAGTGTCACAGGTGCCCTTTCAGATGAATAACTTCTAAATATTTTAAGCCTTTGAAGAACAAGGCACCTTGTCTTTTTTTTTTCCCTTTCCAGTGTCACCTTTTAATTATTCTCCACACCAGAAATCTGCCAACATAAAAAGTGCAGCTGTATTTGGCTGTCATCAGAGAAGACTAAATGGAGTATTTGGTGCTTCTAATTAGCCTCGTGCTAAATTCTGAATTGTAGATCCCCTTTGCCTTTTCTATTGTTCTCGAAAAGTCTTGATGACTTGGAAAACACAATTTTCATGACGGACTTGGCTTGTGCTCCTTGTCTAAAACACAAAGCAGCTTAACAAATCCATTCATAGAAGGGCAGGCCAGCCTACACAGGCAGTGAGTAGGTTGTAGGTACAGTATAAAACTGAATGCTGACTTGCCCCCTCGCAGTGCAGCTGTGCTCCAGCTGTGGCTGGCACGAGGGGAGTTGGAGGCAGTCCCGTCACACTCGTGAGTCTGTACGGCATCACCGTTTTGTTTTCTTACCAGCTGGCATTACCTTAGTACTGTATAACTCTGTGCCACAACAAAAGACAAACTGTCAGATTTAAAATTTAAAAAAAAAACAAACCTACTTTGTTTAAAAATGAAAAAAAAAAGGACATGTGGATTCTGGTTAGTCCATTAACGTTTACTTTCGGTTCGAGGTGGTTTAATTTTGTATTTGACTTCGGAGTAATGAAACTGTAAAGCTGCCAAAAAGTTGTTCTCTGAGCAGTATTTTCAACTGTGCTTGTGGCTTCTGGGCCCCAAGTGCAGTTTGCAGGGAAGTATTCAGGTTGTAGTTAGTCGTGCAGGTATGATAGGAATGGCTGAAAAAAATTCAAAGACTTTCTCACTAGCGTTAGACCAAACAACCTTCCAAGGAGACAATAACTAACCCCCGAGACATCCCATGGAACGGTTGTGACCTGTTGCACGTGAGACAAACCATGTCATCAGTTTGCATTTCATGAACCAGTTGCCTTAAGTCTGTGAATGAATGTTGATAATTAAAGTGTCTTGTATTGTTTTACAATCCACATAGAATGGGCAACTGAACTTCTGCACCAGCTTCTGGGGGAAGGGTTCTGAGGATGTTCTGTACCACCATACTTGTACTGTATTACTTTGGCTCTTAAATTGGCTCAACTTATTTTAACTTAGTACAGCAGTAAAATGACACTTGGTGACAATACGAAGACAAACTTAGCCACAGCTTTGATCTTTGCTAGTATTAAAGACTTATTTTCTATAAGCTCTGATGGATTTTATTTTTTTTAAAACCCATTGTTATAAAACTCAGAGTGCTCTGCAACCAAGTTTGGGCTCCTCTGTGTATTCATATTTGGCCAAAGGGATCAAAATGCCCTAGTCATTTATTTTGACACCGAATCATTGTACTTGAACTCTCAAGTGTTGAGTTTGCGTGGATACACATACATTATATATTTAGAGTTTCTATTTCTAACAAAGCAATAGAGTTCTGTCCATAAAGTCAGATAACCAGTGGAATGTTTGTAGAATTTGCAATACGGGTATTTGATTGTATTTTAAATACAAGATTTTAAAACCATTAAAATAGGAAAAAAAACACTTGTTTCCTAAATCTCTTGCGTGTTTTGAAGTGCAGGTAGTGCACGCAGGTCACCAGGGCTGTTCTAAACCCTGGGTTTCAGTTCTATTTCTGGGTATTAGAGAAGTATTAAAAAGTCTTTTCCAGTTGGTCATTCTGTTCAGCTAAAGAGATGCTGCCTGGCCTGAAGTTCTGTTGTCCTTTTTATGTCGGGTTAAAAACGGTTTTTTGCCTGTATAGGTATTTTTAAATTAAGCTGTAAGGCAGAATGCCTTAGATTCTTGAAATTCAACTGAAGTGTTAACGATTAAATTGCCATTTGTAAACTAGGGCTGTGCGCAGAATCCTTGTTATCCACCAGGGAGGCGTTGGCAGGCTTGGAATGGGAGACAGTAGCAAATGTACAATATTGCTGTGTTCATTTAGGTAGCTTTGGAAGAATAAATTGTCTCTTTGTTTTGCCCTTTGATCTTTATTAAACAGCCAAGTTCTACATGGAAGAAACTCACCACCTGGAGACATTTGGTTGTCAGTGTTCGCAATCACTTTCTTACAGCATGATTTTGATTAGACTGGTTGGGGACAATAAAGTATCTAAATGACACTGGTGTGTGCTGATGTTGCAGCTTTTGAAATTTCACAGCATTAAAGAAAAACAAACAGAAAGAATCTGTAGCTGTATAACTTCTGGAGACATAATCCTCTGTTTTACAGATTGTTTTTAACCTAATAAACCACAGTACCGCACAGCCCTATTTGTAAAACAAAACCAAGTTTGTGCCTCTGATTTCCAAGGTGCTGTGATGTTTTGCCTTTGTGGGGTGAGGAGGGCAGGTGAGACTGGCGTGGGGCAATTGCTTCAGAATCTCTGGGCTAACTATGCAAAACCAGCTGTCAGTTTTCTGTTTCACATGATGTTGTAAAATCCCAGCTGACTCTTCTTTATTTCTTGTTAAAGATCTGTTGGGAACTCCTTAACAGAGGAGTAAGCAATGGAAATGTTTCTTTCTTTTCTTTCTTTCTTTTCTTTTTTTTTCCCTTATGATGGAGCTGTTTACACTTTAATGCAATGAACAATCCAGCAATACTTGAGAAACACTACAGATACCATGAGTGTTTGCAGGAGAGAGAAGTGTTGTCAATCAGGTATTGAATGGTTTCTTTACTGTCACAAATAAAAAATTTTAACAATATAGTTACTTGTGCATGTAATACTTGTCTGGGAAAAAATTCCTGCACTTCTCCTTCAGTAGTAGGCACTGCCCTAATCTGACAGGGATTTATTCCTACTAATACACATCCATGTTAGATCATAAAATCACCCATCTCTGTTCCACTCTCCTCCCCCTCCCCTCTTTTCAAGTCATGTGCAGGACTCCTCAGTGGCTGCCCTGGCACCTGCTTGTGCAAACAGAGCTGATGAACTACTGATGAACTCTGCTAAATAAATTGGTGGCGACTCTTGCAGATGTTCCAGCTATTTAGATCTCTTGGATGAGATCATACAATAATTTGTTCAAGTCTCAAAGCTGTGTGACTTCTTTTGAAGGGCTTACTTCAGCTACTTGAATAGCTGTTCTTAACATCACTGCCATATCCACATGAATATCTGAATAAAACACTTTATTTGGTTGGAAAAATCTATTTTTGGGACTCTTTATCTGACACAGTAAGACTTAGGCAGAGCCTTCCTTTCTAGGAAAAGGCACATATTATTAATGCTTTATGAGCAGAAAACCTCAGGCCTGTTGGAATAAGCAGCTGGCTCAAGATAGCACATTAGTTGCAATTAAAAGTATTTTTTAGTTAGCACTATGATCAGTTGGAATGACCTAGGCTGCCTTTACTTCGTACTGGTGGGTCAGGGGGTTGATGATTTTTTAATTTGACTTTTATTTTTAATTTTTTGAGTTGCTTTCTTTTTAGTTTTACCAATCTCCTTAGCTGCTACGTAGGATAAAGATGCTTTTCTTTTTTTCACTCAGTAAAACAAGTGTTTCAAAATTCATAAAACAGCTCATTTATAGCAGTGAGAAAGATCCTGTTGTTCTGCCCTGACTGACTGAAACCAAGTGTCTGCAAAACTGAGTACACCATAGTCCATATACCTATATGCCTTCCAACATTTCCCCCCTTTTATTGTGTTTTGACTCAGAAGAAAAGCCAACCACTCTGAAATTCCCTGCAGGATGGGAAAGGGCTCTTCCAGGTGGGCTGCAGCTTCAGGGGATCCTGCAGTCTCTGGCAGTTTTCCTGGCAAGTGACCTTCTCCATCCAGACTTCCAGCCCAGCCATGCTGGTGGAAGACCTGGCAGAGTTCTCCTGGACTCCTCTGCTGGAGCTACTGGAGAAAAAATGATTTGTCGGTAATATATTGGTTTGGACAGGTTGGCAAACACAAATTTGGAAAGCTTCCAGGCATATTTTGTTTGGAAGGAGCTGTGCTGAGGAGTGAGTTGTCTGTAATTGCCTGATGCCACGTTAACAGGCATTTCTGAAACACAGGGCACATGCTGCCATGCTGGATCAAACAGAGATCAGTTTGACTCTGTAGAGAAGGTTGCAGCTGCAATGACACACCTTCCAGTTTAAAACTGATTTGGTCATGGCTTAAATCAGCAGCAAACAGAATTTAGGAGGCTGTGTCAGTGTAGCTGTGGACCCTTCGTACCTCCCACCACTCTCCTCTGTGCAACCGGCGTGGTTTAATTATGCAACTGCCTTTTGATTTAGTGATGTAAACACACTTGATCAGGATGGAAATTGCAGGAAAATGCTGGACAAAGAACCACAACGCAGCTGGCACCCGTCAGCCTTGGCTGTCGTCTCGGGCTGGACTCCAGCTAGGACAAGGCTGTTGCTACTAGAAGGAGAGCAGAGGAGTCACCGCTAAGCCAGAAACATGTCACCCCCTCGGAGAACCTCTGTTCTTCTAGATAATGAGGGGAGATCGTTTTGTCTGCACAGACACCATGTCACCACGTCTGAATTCCCAGCGTTTCCATAACTGTTGTACTCAAAGGCTCGGAGGGTTGTTGAAGGAGTTGCTGGTTTGACAATGGGTTGTTATCTTTGTCTGACTTTAATGAGCTTTTGTGATGAAAACCAAATTTCTTTACAGTGTAACCTTGTGATTTTATTTTTTTCATGCTTTGATTCAGTTTGATAATAAACTATCTGTGTTATTTTTTTCATCCTCTTCATGTCTGATAATGCATATAGTTGTGGTCCACTCCCAGAAATCCCCCACTCCATCCAAGTGCCATTCTCCATGGGGGAAATATTGGGAGGGGGAAGCAAAGACAGAATCAGGCCAGAAAGTTCTCATTCCATTCCTCTCACAACTCTTTAGACTTGCTGGGCTTTAATAAGAATTAAGTCTTTGATTGCTGGAGCATCAAGGGCTTCTTCCTCCAGCAGCAGATTTGGCAGGTAGGTTCGGTTCCTGTTCTTTTTGGTTAACCTGATGAGGTTTGAATAAATCCACCTTGCTGCTTCCAAAGCCACTGAAGCCTGTACATAAGCTGGAGCTGAGAAAGGAGCAAGATCCAGGATTCTGGGAGGGGATAAGGGAGCGGGAGAAAACAAATTATGCCAACTGGTGAGGTTTCCTGTACCATCCCCAGTCAGTTCCTGTATGCATAACCTCTCAGATGGTGTTCACAGCACCCCTGAAGCA